AATTGCACCAGAGGAGCCAATATGTTTCCCACCCCGCGCGCCTTCGGCCCTGTCTTCCCCTTCACACCTCCGTGTTGCGTCTTCGACAAACATCGTTCCGATGTGCTGCCAACATGATTACGGAGCCCTCGGAGTGGACAGGAGCGGACATAGGCCACTGCCCGAAGTTCTTTAAGATACCGTTGGACGAAGTGTGGGAAATTCCTACAGAACGTCTAAAGGAATTCTGCCAGAACTTCCTGACGACGAACGGAAAAACGCAATAACCCATAAAATATTCAAGGATCAGAAAGGCGAAGGAAAATCCCTAAGAACTTCCAATAAAAACACTTGAAAGCAATCAGGCTAAAAAGATTTGATAAATATAGTCTATGGAAAATTCTAAGACATTCTTGAGATGTTCATAGGACAAATAGTAGAAATTTCCGTCACATAATCAATTGAAAGATTCTATATCAAATCTCTTAAGCTCATGATTCTTACAGGGTAGTTTTCTATGCTTTTTTCTTCCCAATGTTCGAATTCTAATAAAATTCCCCCCGGAATTCCAAAAGCCCCCCTGAATTCACCCCTGATGTAAGTTTACAGAAAGTAAATGAGGAATACCGTCTGAATGCACAACTAAAGCATCCCACCAAAGGCGAAAAGCTCCCCCATTTTTATTTATATACTTCAGAAATATTTTTAATTACAAAACTACAATAAATTATTGGCGCCACGAGAGGGTGAGTCGAGGTCGAGACTGCCTTCACATAATGCCCCAAAATATACACACCCAAGCAGAGCATATAAAAGCTGTAAGTGCAAGAGTTGGTGAGCTTTCTCACCCCGCGCCAAATTCACCCCAGCACGGACTATGTTCGCATTTATTCTTTATTTGCTCAGCTCTTTTTTATCCGGCGCGCCGGAGAAAAAAGTTCATTTAAAAAAGCGAGGGGAGCCTCGAAACATGGGTGAAAATGAATATTTTCGAGTGCAAATCGCAAAGAATGGAATTAATTTTTCAGCGAGACGAATGATTGATATGCCATTCTGGTTGTGCATTAAAATTTATTAAAGTAAAAGTATAATAATCAACTTTGTATAGAGGTAGAAGCTTAATTATTCGCCCAGTGTCAGAATATTTTTCTACCCAATCAGCTGCCCATTTGTATTCACTCTCATCGCCAAGAATGAGTGGCGCACAGAAGTTGAATGAGCGTGTTTATTACTTTACTTTTATGCTTCTCCCAACTTACTCAAAATGTTTCCATCTTCCAGCCATACAATGTTGCCCTGAATAAAATAACATCATGTGATTATTCCTCTAAAGACACTGAAATACAATCCATTTATTTTATGTCTCTCCGCGCTCAATTACACAACGCGAAGGGTATTTAGTACTTCTAATTGGACATTTACACGAATTGAGAGAAAAAGAATGCCACCTTGCGATGCATTAAAACATATTTATTTTAGATATAACATTACTCTGCTCTTTGCATTCACTCTTTGTTGTGAAAACGCGGGCTTCATTCGCGCGCGGTGGGGAAGAATCACAGGCCGTCCTCTGTAACTGTTCAATTTACACTACGTTATCAATTAAAAATAACTTAAAGTCGGCATTAAAATAATATTCTCCTCACCGTCTTCCCACGTTTTAGCTTCTAACATATCCATCATCAATAAATATTCAATAACTTTTAACATCTGCGCCTCTTGGAAGTTTCTCAGTAATCGAATTGCCACACAGCGCTTGATCGCAACAACACTCGCACTGTGTGAAAATTGTGGAAAAGTGACACGGGAAAAGAAGCAGAGAAAGAATTTGTGGCGAATGCTTAGCTCGATTTAATATAAATATTGATAATAATCATTGTTACAGGATTCTTTTGAAGGCAGAGAATTTGTTGTAATCGAAAGACTCACAACTCTCTTGAAATTCATAATTTTCCACCTACAAGGACTGGCTTTTCTTCACGAATATCACACTAAAAAAGCAGTTTACTGACTCTTTTTCGAGCCTTTGACCTCATCTGATATCAAACATTAATTTCCAGCAATAATTCTTCATTACACGAAGCAATTTCTCCTCCCTGAACTGTTAAACACTACTTTTCCTCAAATATTATATGTGCATTAGTATTATTCCTCCTCACTTCTCTCTCTCTCTCTCACTCCATTCAATTCTCTATTGCGGTTAGATTTGTTTAACACATCAGCCCCATTTAATGTGTTGGGGCATCATCGGATGGAAAAAAGTGAGAGAAAATCTCCACATTATTTAAATTACTCCTTTGAAATAAATTTGATGAATAAATAAATCAACGAATATGCTTTTAAATTCATAAACAAGCGTCTTTGGGTATTACTTTTTCTAACATTCTCTGTGTATACAATACCCAGAGTCTCTTCTTCTTCCCCGCCCGCAACGTGGCAAAGAAAACTTCTTTCATACACTTTCACTGGTTCCGTCTTCATTGCGCGCCATGAGCGCAAAAAAAAGAGACTCGCAGTGTTATTGTGTTCTTTTCATCATACAATTTCAATGTATATTTATTTCTGTAGTTTCATTGTAGAATAAATGATACTGGCGAAGGAGATAATTTTTGCGCCATGGAGAAAACACAAAAATACACCTTTTCTCTCTCTCTTTTTTCCAATTAAAACTTTACAAGCTCATGAGATGAGAGTTCGCGCGGGCAATAAATATAAATTCCCATCCATCGAGATTATCTTATCGCGCTGGCGGTGAAAAATATTATTTCCATTGTCTAAAATAATATTTCTAATATCATCAAACACTCCACAGGCAGATGCGAGGGCCTTAAGGAGATGACGTATAGATAAATATCGCCAGATTATGCGTCAATTCCACGTGGATACACTGAAAATCTTCCCTCTATCCAATAAAACAACATCGGCAGTGACTTGCAAGAGCCAATATCTCATGCGCGCACCCGAAAAAAGTTAATTTATTTTACGAGTTATCCACTCAAGAAATTTTTTGGAACATTGCGCGCGCGATAAAAGTCTCCAAGGTGCTCCTAATAATATTTTTGATATAAATAATCTCTCTCTCCTATATAAAGTTCCATCGGTCGCTGACGACAAATAAACACGCATTGGTAAATAAAAAGAATTACGATATTTTTTTATTTTTGTTAATCAGCAATGGTGGAAAAAATTCCTTCCTCTCTCACTCCCTCCCTCCCCCTTTTTCTTCTTCATATCTCCGCCGAAGAAAAAAGCCCATTTTATTTGTCCTCCTATCAGTTCACCTCAAATTCTTTCGATAATTCCAGGAACATACGACTAATTTCTCAGTACACCCGAAACGAACTCTTATCATTGGTTCGAATGATTTATTTGCTCTTCCAATCAATTTTCGTTAATGTTTAGAGAAATATAATGTATCAATTTATATTTTATATAAAATGTGTTTTTTTTCTCTCGTGTAAATTGAGTAAATACTCAAGAAATTCGGGCGATAGGAAATTCCATGTACACGAAGTTTGAAGGTGATTTTTGAATGAATCAGATTCACTTATAAATTTGCCTCGTCTTTTTTCCCTAATTCAAAATCTTCATATTTTGGAGAAAAAGAATTAATTAAATGTCTATAATAAATAATTTGATCAGTAAATTTACTCAAAAACCTTCAATTTTTATTCAGAATTATATGAAATCAGAGATTTTATTACATTTTATTCTGTGCCAATGAATTAACGATACTTCTAAAATTGTTTTACTCCACGAGGAAAAAAAGATAAGATAAAATCACTGCACAAAGTGAACTTCCCTTGATTGAACTGACGCAAAATATCCAAAAAGATATCCCCGAAATGTCCTCCCATCGATGCAAAAAGCAAAAATAAAAACACTCTCTGGCTGTTTGTGGAACCTTTTCCGAAAGTTTCTCGCTTGTAGCAACATAGAATGCATCAGCAAGATTTGCATGAGCGCCAGAGAGTTGCGAATGGAAGCTGAAATAAATGAAACAGAAAGCAATCAATCAGTTACTGATTGGAAAATAAACTCCGCCCATTGATCAAAACTCACTGCACCACAACTATACACAATTTTTTTCCCCATTTAATATGGCCTCCAATTTTTTTTTGTCCGCAACGTTCTCCCCAAAAAGGGTGCAATTTCACCGGGGAGATCTTCCCGAAAACTCATCTCTTGCGGAGGAAAGTGGAGGTGTGAATATTCCACGAAATAGAAATTGACATTACATTTTAACATGCATAGAAGAGTGAGAGAGAGTTATCAGACCGGCACACAATCCACTCCTGTTCTCTTCTCCTCCAAATCGATTCGATTGGTCGCTACAGCAAAATCGCTAAATAAGTTAATCCATTGCATAATTGGCGGAATAATAAAAATTCATGTATGGCAACCGTGAAACAGTGGGAAAGAAACATATTTTGGGCAAAATGTTGGCAATGTTTGCAATTGGCATAGAGAGAATAGGAAGGAATATAATTTGATTATATTGTAAACTAATGGGGAGACAAAGCCATGGAGCTTCGCTCCAATATCTCGCCATTGAGAAAATGCAAAAAGCCAGGGGAGAATCTCTGAACTCGAGGTGAGAGTGGCATAAACCATGCAACTTGCACCAAGTCAAGTTTCATGTTCTCTCTCACCCGCCACCATAATATACACATATAGCACATGGAGCGACACAACTACAATCCCCCATATCAATTCCATTACTCCACTACTATAAATGATTACTTATTGCAGATAGTAAACTAACTCATTTACGACTGGGAGGACACACTCTCGATTATTATTGGGGATCGCCATTGTACCTTATATTTGACACTCTATGTGTTTGGACAGATTAATGGATGGACGAAGGCGTTTGCCACCTTGTTATCAATGGAATATGGTTGCACAGCTGTTAATTTGCCACAAACTCAAGAAGGTGGGGAACTTCGTGACACCCCTCAATAGTCGTCTGGCTGCGTTCATAGTTGCTTTCTCGGAAGCAAATATGAGCTATTTCTTACCAGTACTTCCGCTGAGAACTCCTTTTTTGCTTCACGAGTGCGTCATCTGCAAATAAAGGCGAAAAATAGACATTTTATACGTGCTTTCTAGCATTCATTCATGAAACTCTTATCAATTTATTCAAATAAAACCTATTTCTTAAGCATTCACAAAGTTAAACCTCAAAATCCATGATTATGGGCGGGGCTTCCAAGATTTTATGGATTTTCTAGACAGAAAATATAACAAATTTCTAGTATTTCATACTAATATTTGTGTTATTCTAAAATATCATTAATTTAATGGCAATTTTCTGCTGAAACAAAACCTTTTTCTGAATTATTAACATGATTAAACCCTTTCAAACATGATTTTGGGAGGGATTTTCAAGTGGGTGGGGCTTAAAAACTATTCTTTTACCCTTAATTAACAGTTACACTTTAAAGTGACGATTTTCTATCCAATTTAACATTTTATTGAATAATTTAGAATTTTACTTCTCCAATTCCAACACATCATCGGTCAAATCAAATACACACTTCAAAATGTAGTACAGTAGGTGGAGCTTTCGAGTAGGCGGGGCCTGAAAACTATACATTTTGTTCCTAATTAAAATTTACACTTCGAAGCAAGGATTTTCCAACCATTCACCTGATATTTCCCCATCGATTTTCTCTCTGGATATTGCATTTTCTTGGAATAAACTGCAAATTGCTCGTGTTTTCTAACATTATTCCCATTACTCTTGCATCATCTCTCTGTCAATCATCTGTGCTGGGACATTTTTGGCGCATGCAAATGGATACTGGAGAGGAAGCTCTGAAGCCATTAGATGAGAATGTGCCACACAGCCTCCAAATGTCATGTGAAAATGTGTCGAAGTCTCTCTGGTGGAATTCTCTTGGCGGCTGCGAATTTTTTTTTTTGCGAATGCACCGCAAAAGAGATATTTCGTCACATATAAATATTCCATCTTTTCCACTCGTGCGCCCACTCTTTCGCCCAGGCATAGATGGACGGACAGATGACGAGTGAATGAGAGATGTGCGGACGGTTCGGGGCGTATGAGATTCTGGCGGGATTGGGACTGTGTGCTGGAGATAGAGACCGGCGAAGCCCACTCTCTTGCATCAAATATTAACCACCGACCGACGAATGAGCGCGTCCTGACATCCTGCTCGTGTGTATACAATATTCTAGGGAAAACGAGGTCTCCATGTGCATCCTGACAGCGAACTTGGGGCCACCCGCCGATGGCTGTGATGATGATGGCCCCAGAGTCAGAGAGGGTAAGGGAGTGCAAGCTGCGGAGAAGCCGCTGGGATGAATGGAGGAGCGCACAGGCACACTATACATTATTACATTGAGATGCATGCAAGAGCAATTAATTGAGTCCTGAATTATAAATACACCACGTTTCATTCCATATCCATCCATGAATTATTGAATTTTATATATCGCGCACTCTTTCATTCTTTTCTTCCCTCAATGGTCGACACACACACATACAGACTCTTCCGACTTTCCCGGCTTGTGTGTCATCACGTGCAAATATTTAGAAACGAGCACTCTTTAGTCTCAACCATCAGAGTTCCACTGCAGGAAAGCTTCTTAGTGGAAAAATGTGATAAAATAATTCAGTTAAGTGCGTGGAAGACAAGAGCAGGAAGTCTAGAGCGCAACCTCCATCTAATGATTTTCTAATTAAATTAAATACACTGCCGAGAGGATATTGAATCACTGGGGACGTTAATTCACGCAAAACGTCGCGCAAAAATCCGTCTCGGCGGCCCAGGAAAATAGAATTACACCTCTCGTTCCGTCGTCGCCGATTGGTGCGCCTCCTTATCCGGTCAGGAAGTCAGAGGGCGATGCCAGACAAAGCCGCGATTTTTTTTTAGGATACCCAGAAGTCACGAGAACGATCGCCACAAATGGCTTCCTCAGTTCATCGGCTGACACTCTATTATGCGACATGATTCTTTCCAAATCCCAAATATTTAATTACAAAACTCATTAATAGAAGAAGTGCCATTATAGATGAAATATCTGTGACACGTTTATGTAGATTAGACATAATATCATACCAAATGTGTCGCCACGATGGGAACTCCGGATGGACTAAAAGTGGGAAACTCGTGGAGATTCTTTGGCTCTTGCGTGTGTTTTTTTTCTCTTCTTGCTGTTACCCATGGCGCTTGCCGACAATTTCGGAAGGTTGTGTGCCATCGACGAGTCATTTATTAATGAATTCATACACGGAATGCAAGTGGAAACATCGGAGCGTCGTCTAACAGTGATGACTTCATTTATGCCATCTGCATAAATGCATGAAACCCCATCGTCATTATTGACATTACGAAACATAGACCCCCAATGGAAGCTCCGCCAGATGAACGGGAGACGACCAAAGTGCTCGTCAGTGGGTGGGTTTTTGGAGAGCACCGAGACCGTCTCACGTCATGAAATATGCACCGGAATTCGTCTACAGGCGCGAATCTCTTCTGCATGGGCCAGAGCATGTTGGAATATAAGGTGCTTAATTATAAATTGAAAGCGGGAGTGTTTCATTGTTAATAATTTCCTCGCTGCCGAATTCTCTCTCTCTCTCTCTCGCTCTCTCCGTCGCGCGCGACCCCACAGCGGCGCTTCCTCGTGCCGCGGCGCCAGGGAAGTGCGGAGACGAGGTGCCCCACTTGCCTCTGACCCCAAAAAATACAACACCACGACACTGGCGGCAACATCACAGGAGTGGAGCGAGATAAAAGAATCATCCAAATGCACCATTTCAGATGTGTAAGTCTTCCTAAATAAATTATTTTTACAAATACAGAAACGATGCTCCGATGAAATTTTCATTGCATCTTCTCATGCTCAACAGACGCTCTCGTTCCCCTGATCGCCCCTCTTTTTCCCCACATCGCAACTCCTTGTCGACACCCGAACATTTTGGAGGGAAAAACAGCCAGAAGACCTTCCCCAATCAGAACACCCTCGAGAGTCTCATCTCTTGAGGGGTGAACAACAGCAGACGCTGCGATGCGGATAACACAAAGTGAAGATTAAACACCGTGAAGGACTCCTGAAACATCCAAAACTACACAAAAATTCACAAAGACTGAAATATCAATAAAAGTTCAATCGTTATTTATTTTTAGACTTTCGCAATTTTCGTCATTTTTTCCTTTTTATTAAAATAGTTCTGTGAATATCGAGCAAAGCTATTAGGAAACCATAAATTCATTGTGATCAATTGAGTCAAAGTAATTAAATTGATGCTAAAATTGTTAAAAAGTTTAATAGAAGAATTTAGTTTTTTATTTCCTCACCCCTTGCTTTGTTTCACATTTTTCTTTAACAACTTCAGCTGAACAGGTGCAAATCCCAAACTATCTCCAAAGCTAATGCAATATAATCTCAAATTAAAATTTTAATATTTAAACCCGGAGTTGAGCAAGTTTTTTTCCCAATGAAGTCACATTGAAAATTAGATGATTTCTAAATATGTTAATAACTCTGAGTTATACTAATAACAATATTCTCTCTCTCCCTCTCTAATACGGAACAATCGCGCAAGAGCAAGAAAAAAAGGCATTACAAAAAATTCCAATTCGATTTATGAGTCCAAAATAATCATAAAACCTTTTTTTTCCACGCTAGAGAAACACACAAAGCAATTAACCAAATCTCCAATTCCAAACTCTCTTCGGCCAACTTTTGCCTTTTTATACACAGCCCAACACCAAAATGCTCCCAAGAGACGTGAAAATAAAGGCAAAGAAGTGTACATAAAGGCGGAATATAAATATAAAAAATAATTTCGAATGAATATGCATAATTAATAAATTCCCAAAATTATATCTCGCCTCCCAAAATGGCTTTTTGTAAGAAAATCCACTTGAGTTTGGGAGGTAAGATAAATTATTTATATTATTGCCATTTATATAAAGTTAATATATTATCAATATTTTATTGGATTCAACCTTGCATACACCAGAAAAAAAATATATATGAATATGACTTTCTTCCCTCCGATTTACGGACTTTGCCTTTTTTCCCACCGCGCGCACGTGAATTCACATCAAAATATGACTCTTTGTAATCTCTTTCTCTCCCTGATATTTAACGCAATTATGAAGGCACGATCAAAAGAAATAAATTCAATATATTAATGCTGGAAGTAATCTAGGTTGTTGCGGAATTTACTGTACATTCTTTTTTCCTGTGGCTTTTTTCGACACATGAACAAGGCATATCAGCAGTTCTCCAATCGTTCCAATAATTGCATTTTTTGCCCAACTTTACACACCTGTAGTGAAATGTAATGAATTCATCATAATCTCATATGAGAAATTCCACTTTATTGCTTTCTACGCTTTGATGGAACTATTTTGCAGGCACAGAGAAACCGATTCCACTTGATTGACAATCCACTGATCAGTGTCAGTTTGACACAAGTCAAAATACAAATTGTCAGCCAACAGTCGTTCAACGTTTCTTTGCCAATTCCCCCGATTGGAGAGCTTCTGCAGACAACTCGTGTGTGCATGCGGGGGTGGAAGAAGAGCTCTCAATGTGGGCGAAATGTGGTGAAATAGTGGCCTCCAGAGCATGTCGTCCTCGTCTAAATATATTTTACAAGCGCACACACTCCAACAATATAAATTCAATGAATTTTCCGTTCTTATGGAAATGGAATTGAGCATGAGAGTCTGGCAGCAACACGACGACACACAATAATAATTATTAGAACATAGAGGATGCCCTCACACCCCAAAGACATCCAAAACATATAACTATGCGAGCGAAGATGGAGGGCGAGAGAGGGCTCTTTCGCCACCATAGAATGGGCACACAAATGAATTAATCTGGGTGCAACAAACAAACCTCGGAACATAATTCACTTCCTAAGTTATGCAATTCTATCAAAACAGCCCCCAACACACACACACACGCAAGTGTTCTGGGATGCGTGGCAAAATGGTAAATGCATGCACCACACCCCGCCGCCACGAGGTGTGGGCTGTTTTGCATTACACAGGAGCGAAAATAGGAGACATAGCCCA